GGTTTGGAAAGGACCCATCCTGCCCCCTGTGTACAGTCCCAGCAACACTCAAGCACATCTTGGTTGGTTGTAGGACTAGCCTTACTCAGGGCAGATACACATGGAGACACAACCAGGTTCTCAGGTGTCTAGCCAAGAAAGTTGAGTGCTTTCACGAACCAAGAGGACCGTCAGTTTTCATCAAGATTTGCCCGGGAAGGAGACAAGCCGAGAACGAGCCCCTCAACCCCAGACCTGGGCCCTCTGAAGGTTGCCAGGGATTAGCAGATGCAGGTGAACTTGGATCAGAGGCTAATTTTTCTCACAGGGATCATAACAACAACTCTACGACCAGACCTCGTCCTTTGGTCTAACTCCCCAAAACTTGCATACATCATTGAGCTGACGGTACCATGGGAGGAAGCCATTGAGGAAGCGTTTGAGCGCAAGGAGCTGCGGTATGCCAACTTGGCAGCTGAGGCAGAGGACAGAGGCTGGAAGATCAAGGTGCGCCCGGCGGAAGTGGGGTGCAGGGGCTTTGTTGCCGGTACAACAGCAAAGCTGCTTAGAGAGACTGGGATCAGAGGACCAGTCACTGGCTATGGTTAAAAAGGGCTGACATCACTTGGGCAACTAAGGCAGTCAGCTAACTGCGAGAGAAAAGAAATATTCCGCTCTACTCCCCTCTGCTCTTCTTCCCTTTTCTGGCTGAAAGTGGGAAGGTAGAGCGTACAGCCCAATCTGGTCGGGAAGTGTGGGAAGCCAGATCGGGCGCTAATCTAGATCAGATCTGTAATCCCTAAACCTAACCAAGGAGGGAAAATGGCAGATTAGCCTGGGTAAAAGACCGAAGGTTGAGGCACATAATGATGTGTGCTGCTGGCAAAGTTTTCCTCATAACAGCCATCCCTCAAGAGTCTCTCCATCTAAAGCAATGCATTATCAGGGACTGTAACATCTAGTCCTTTTTACTGAATGTTAGTGTTACAAACACATTCTTCTTCATGTCTGTTTACGTGGTTTTTAAGGATAAAGTGATTTTCAGTAGTACAAGCATCATTTAATCCCCAAAAGTTGATTCTGTTCATCTACATGTAG